CACGACGGAAGTAGTGCAAATGTGGTATAACGATATGGCAATTTTTATTATCAATAATAATAAAACGTGTATAGTAAATTTGTAATTTCAAATTTACCAAAAACAAAAATTCAAATTTACCCAAAAAAATTAGTAAATTTCAGAACTTTATTTGTTTATCAAAAAAAAATCAAAATTTTATTTTCATGGGTGTTTCAAAAGAAAGTACTTTAAAATTTTAGCATATCATATACCATATGATGTTCTTTTTATGATAAAATGTGTTTTAAAAAAACATTTTACAATTAAAACAGTATTCAATTGCAAAAACATTAGTTATAAGATCAACTTGAGCCTAATTGCAGCTGCAAGCCCTTCAATTTGAGATATAGTTATGGTGGGGTGGTTTCTTACCAAATAGTATAGATTTGGTTTAAATTGGTATTTAATAATTAAAAAATTTTAATTTTGGGTCAAATTTAATAGGAAAATGATTTAAGGATAATTTTTTATATCACTTTTTTTATACAACCTAATATGTCAATAAAATGATTAACTATTTTTATTTATTTATGACTCGTAATATTGAATGCATTCACTTATTTAATAATACAAAAAAATTATATAAAAAGATAATATGAAAAAATTATTCATATATCACCACCCAATTTAATATTCAAATCTTTATAACACTAAATAGTTATATATCTAAAAAGGTATTGGTCGAATATAAGCTATATTTGGTCCCATAGTAATTTGGCGTTTGTAGGAAATTAGAAATTCTTAGTTATTTATTTAAGTTTTTAAATCTAATAAGTAATAACTACTGCCAATAATTTAAATAATTTAATGATTCAGTAATCATCTCCTTCCATTGAAAATAAGGGATTTTGAATTTAAATCGCACCATATACGAATAGAGTGAGATAAAAAATGAGAGATTGTTACTTTTTACTGTACAATTAAAATAAATAAAAAAAAAAGTAACAACTAAATTCTAATGAGATTGAGCAGAACTGGTGGCAGTCATGAAGGCTCTGTGGTTCCAAACTTTTTCTGCTACTATTGATATTTGTTTAATGAAGTTTTTCTTCCATAAAAAAAGGTAGTAAATGGTTAATCTTTATTTTACTAGCTAAAAAGACTTTATATTTTTATTTTTTATGTGTGGATTGAAACTAGCTGAACCTATGACTCACAACATACTAAAGTTGCATTGATACATAGTTTTATTTGGTAATGAAGTTTCACAATCCACACAAACGTTATTAAATAAATAAATTTATATCAAATTACAAAAAAAAATTAATAAAATAATTAATAATTATTATTTAAAAATAAAAAAATATTTTATAATTTAATATAATTAAATCTGTAATTTTATATTTTTTTGTTATTTTATTGTCTCAAAACACTAACCCCATTGTCCTCGTGACACGTGGACTTGCACGAAATCTCACAAAACTGACGCTCGCTCACTCACGAATAACGATACTTAAAAAAAAAAAAAGAAAAAACAGGAAAACATTTCACGTGCACTGCCACGTGTCCACTTCACGATCACTCTTCCACCCGCCGAATCCGACGCACGTGGTCTCTCACCGTCAATATCCGGTCGACAACTGGAACAGCCGGTAAACCCCAAGGAAAACACTCATTCAACTTTTTTATTACCAATCCGACGGCTCATATCTCACATGTGATTTTAAAGTGGAAAATCAACGGCTCTCGATAAATGCCCTTTTACTCATCAAATCCATTTTTTTAGT